ATCAACTCCTGTATTAGCCAGTAACGTTGCCGATGTTCTTCGGAATGAATGGCCTGTATATGTTTCAGGATGTTCTAGTTTCAAAAACTGTGCAATCTTGTTAGGAATCATAGAAAGGGTATTTTTGCCGACTGGTTGGTTGTAACTTCTACCTGCTTGATAGCGCATAAAAAAGCGTGAAATTTCAATTTTAATTTCTAATCTAATCTTGATATATTTCTTGAGAATTTATAGGTAAGAGACAGAACCCAACGAGAAGCAATCGTAAACGTACGTGACATACCATTTTTAGAATCTGGAGTTGTAACTACAATAATGTCATTGAAATTTTTTAAATTGACGTCCAAAGTAAGTTTGCATAACTCATCAGAACGGCATGCTCCTGCAATGCCTAAGACCGTCACTACCTGCTAATGATAGCAAATATGTGTTATCAGGTGCCTGAACGAGAAAATCGTTGACTTGTTCTCTTATAAAAATGTTCTTACGTTTCAAAAATGCTCTCAGCTTGGGGTATTTTAATATATCCACGCTATCCTATATAAAAATAGTTGATTTAATCATTGAGTATTCACTCCACAACAGAACGACAAAATCCATCCAAACAACCAAGGCTACTGCAAGATTTCGAATAATGTCAAAATGAATTTATTAAGAAATGTCAAAAAATAAAACTTAATCTTTATTTTCATGAATCATAAAGAACTATGGGAGCAGATAAAATGTTATACACCACGCAGCAGTTAAGTATAATTTCCAGTCTCGCACTCTATTGCCTGCCCTCGCTCCGCTCGGGCGCAAAATCATCCTCGACTTTGCGACATGTTATTTTAAAGTCACCACATTTCAAATTTGGCACTGCAAGACGACATATTTTCTGTCACGTCTGTGATTGGTTTAGGGCTAATACTGCGGTTTGATGATGAGCAACAGTCATCCTTTACATATGTTTCCAAAGATCAAAGGTAACCTTCGTGTAGATATCTCTCCCACTCAATGTTACACTCTACATTTTGGGAGGTGAATCAAAATCCTTACCTTCTCAATGGAATTTTTTTTAACATGGGCTCTGCTACTTTCGGATTGGACCAACCCAGCCTGCCCATGTCGGTCATGATCACCGTAGGGTTAACTGCATTCACCCTTATGTTGTGGGGTCCATACTCCAAAGCAACGGCTCTAGTAAAGGCGTCTACGGCGCCTTTACTTGCGCAGTATACCGAGTGATTTACCAAACCTACCAGGGACGCCTGGGAAGAGAGGTTGACTATGGAACCGGGAGCTTTTCTAGAGAGGAGGTTTTTGATTACCAGGCGGGTAACGTTGATTAAGGCCTTGGAGTTTATTGCGAAAACGCTAAAACATACAAGTAACACTGGTTTATACTCAAGGTGTTAAAAAAAATAGTGACTTCGGGAAGATAAAACATTAATCAAAGTAAGAAGAATTTTAGGCAACTAGTTTTCTTCTTTTATCGCTCCCGGAGTCCGACACACTATTTTTTCACACCCTGTTTATAAAACTAGAAAAAACATTTAAAATACGAATCTGTTTCTACAGGGTGTTAATGATAAGTGCCAAACTTTATTGGCATATTATTTACCGATGAAAATAATCAACTTTTGCTCACAGGGTGTTAAAAGTTTCAAATATTTATATTATTTTTCATGTAACTTCACTGTCATAAAAGATTGAGTTATAAAATTTCGGGCATGACATCTTTTTAGTAGGGACCATTTTTCCATGCATAATTTATTCCAAAATACACTCCAGTAGCATAGTTATTGGGGGAGTATGGGATCTTTTTTGAAAAACAAAAAAATCATACGCCGCTGGTTTTTTAAATAATTTTAAATGTTTTTAAAATATACAATCAATTTGTGGCAATATAGTATTCTTGTAAAGTATTCGTAAAATTTACTGGTCTTTCCATAGAGCAAAAGTTGATTATTTTCATCGGTGGAAAACGCCATTAAAGTTTGGCAAAACTTATCATAAACACCCTGTATAGTTTGAAATTACTCAACTTTATAAAACTTACTCATCAACGTCATTTTCAACAATGTCAGTCATGGACTTCACCCAACCCATGCCAGCATTATTTACCAAGAGATCCACGGGGCCAATTTTACTTAAAACCTGCTCTGTTTTCTTCCAGTCTGATATATCGAGCTCTAGGACTTTTATGAGTGGATATTCTTGCTTCAGTTTATCTAAAGAAAAATGAATATGTGAAACAGTAATAGGTATTTTATAAATTTAAATTTTAAATTAAGTTGAAGTACCTAAAAGATCTGCAGATCTGCCAACTGCAATTACTTTTGCTCCACATTTTGATAGTTGGATGGCAATATCGCGACCAATGCCTGTAAATGTTAAGAAAAAGTAAACAAAGTACTTCAGTGCCATTTCTACGCTTACCTTTTGTGGCTCCAGTGACAAGGGCTGTTTTTCCATTAAAATTAATTTCCATTTCGATTACTTTAATTTACTAAATCCTAAGGTTGTTTGTCAAACTTAAGAATGATTATTATGCGGCATAAAAGTATTACTGAATTACATTAATTATAATATTATAGAATGTTATCTTAGGTCACAAAGTTAGATAATTCGACATGTTGTTGTTATCGCTGGAAAATTTATTAATACTGTCAGGCACGTCAAAAATAAACATTTCTTTTGAAAAAATTTGTTAGTTTATATAGATGACTACAAATGTCTTCCTAAAGACAATTTAACTTTAAAAAAATGAACAGTCTAGAAAAAGTTAGTGTTAACTAAAACACGTTTTCCAAAAATGTAACCTTAAACTGATACTTAAAACGGTACACCTTGTATATGTCTGTGTATTTATTCGTAAAATATCATCTTTACCAAGATTCTTTTCTTTAATATTTTGACCTACGACCTTGTTATTGTATACTAAAAATGAATTTATTTGCCTTACGACGTAATTCTAGTTGTATCAAGCGATTTAGGTACCAAACTGGTTTATTAAAAAATAGAGCAATGGATATTTCCTTCAAAGGGAAAAGAGCTTTAATAACTGGAGCATCCAGAGGTAGGTTTAGTAGTTTAAAATACTATAAAATTTTTTATAGAAGCCCTCGAATATATTTAGTTATTGACTTTAGGTATTGGAAAATCCATTGCGGTAAAACTGAACAAACTAGGTGCTGAAGTTGTGGCTGTTGGAAGATCCGAAACACACTTAGGTGGGCACTATTTTTTGTCATACTTAAACTAAAAAATACATTTTTGATGTCCAGCTTCATTGCAGAGTGAAAATCCTTCCATCCAAGTCGTCAAACTAGATATAACCGATTGGAATGCAACTAAAACCGCATTAAGCAACGTAGGACCCATCGACTTATTGGTGAATAGTGCTGGAGAAGGTTTCATTAAACCCTTAGAAGATTTGGATGAAGAAGACATAGACAGGTGATTCTCAGAGTTATAATAAAACTTTTTTAATAGCTATTACCTAGATTTATACTTTCAGAATTTTCGATCTGAACGTGAAGGCTCTTATAAACATCACTCAACTGGTCGTCCAAGACTTGATAAAAAGGAATGCCTCAGGGTCCATAGTTAACATGTCATCCCAAGCGGGCCTCGTGGGACTTTTACACCACACTGTATATTGCGCAAGTAAAGGCGCTGTAGACGCCTTTACAAGAGCGTGTGCTTTGGAGCTCGGTTCTAGGAACATCAGGGTGAATTCCGTGAATCCCACGGTTGTTATGACTGAAATGGGAAGGAAGTGGTGGAGTGACCCAAGCAGGGGCGAGTCTATGTTGGCAAAAATTCCGTTGGGAAGGTAAAAATACCATATAATTGTCTTAAGTATAAAAATAGTAGTACACAGTCCCTTCCAACACACTACCGTTTTTAATTCTTTTTAAATTTGTTTCAAAATGTATTTTTTAGATTTTGTGAAGTGCAAGAAGTTGTGGATGCAGTGGTTTTTCTTCTGAGTGACAAATCTGGGATGATAACTGGATCTTGTTTGGCTTTGGACGGTGGATTCACCACAACTTAGTCCAACTGAATTTTTTCTCTAATAGTTATTAAACTTTTTAAACTGTGTAATACGTTTTGCTTAAAAATCCCAGTACGATAAAGGAAATTACAAAAAATGAAATGAATTTGGAAAAACAAATAAACTGAATAAGACGAATAAGACGAAATAAAAATACGATTTAAATTTTTATTGATACATTTCCTTTAATTATGAAATTGTAATACAAAGATAAAACAGCCGCCCCTAAACCTGTTGTATGGTCAGCGCATCCATCGGGAAGGATGTTAGTATCCCTCTTAATCCTCGATTTCAAGGGATCGCCCAAAGAGGCAGGAAAGCAGCCAGATTTCTTCTGGGATTTCAAGATATATATCAACCATTTGGATTTTAAAAAGTCAATGTAGCCTTCGTACCCACAAAGAAGAACTAAAAAGAAAGAATGTTTCTCGTAACAGTAATAATTCATGATACAAAGACTGGAAGGTGTGATATTCTTGTGAAATAAAATCGGTTCACTTACCGCAAGACGTCATATGGAGAGTGATTTAAGTGATACATTAATAAAGTTTAGACGAATTGATTATGAGTATAATAAATAAAGACTGATTTCAATGTCACAATAATTATATATCCTTCAGTATTATCAGCAAACTTTTTCAAAATTTTTCTTGGATTCTAACAGATTGTTTGATTAAAATTGGTTGTTTTATTATCATTCGGCTGCTACGATTTTTAAAAAGTTTTTAAATTTTGCGTCGTCTACAGCTAATTACGAATATATTCTGACATTTTAAAATGGCCTGAACAAATCGGAGAATTTTTGGTGTTAAATGTATATTTACGTCTGCAAGCTCAAAACAGATTTTAAAAATATTTTCTTTTGGAAAATGGACAACGTGAGGCCCATAGTAAAGTTTTTGCTTTGGTTACCTGTTGCACAACCAAACTGTAAAACTGTATATTAACAGCACTGCCCGTCAGTGTCATACAGGCAATATCTACAAATCGCTATTTGATCTCCACATGACATCATAACATGACCGATGGTCTGCGCAATTATCATATCATCATATCCCTTAGTCTGTATTATGGTACCAATCTATAGGTACTATAAAGGCAGGACTGGTGCCACACACTAGACGAAATTATTGAGAAGACAACTACTCTGCAGGCTACAGTCCCGTACAGCATTGAGTTACACGTGGAATAGGTATCCCGTAAACAACTAAAATTGCAGGTCGTTCCCTGCCAGTAGGCTAAATCACTTGTTAGTCGATTCGACTGTGGCATAAAGATTAGTGAATGTGTTAGTTGTACTGACGAATAATTTTACTGTCTATAGGCCGCAGAGTAGTCGTTCCCAACAATGCCATTAGTTGCATTGTATAAACGAAAGTTTTTAAGAAAATTACCTTCTTCTAAAAACAGATCGAACATATCGTCAAGCACATCAAAATAGTCGGCACTAATAACTTCACCAAAAATCAGGGAACATATTTTTCTAGTCTCAGTTTCATATTCTCTGTCTGATATTATACAATGCCTCGCTCTAGCCAACTGTAACAAAAGCAATCTGAAAACAAAATCAAAAGTAAAAACCAACAAAAATTGTTAAACTTACTTGTGGGTTAAAATATATGCTGATGCTCGTCTGTCGTACTCATAATACTTTTTCCGACAGTCTTCGTTAATATAACACTCAACAGGCGTCAATGATTTAGTCAAATTAACGATGTTCTGCAAGCAAAAGTCACTGTTGGGATATTCGTCACTGAGGTTCTGATATCTGTAAATGTTTTTCAAAATCCTTAAGCTGGGTCGTTTTTTCAAAGGATCCAGTGCGTTGTATTTGTATTTTAAGTTTCGTTGCCATATATTGGGATCCAATATTGATTTAGACACTAAAAATGGATATGCTTAAATAAATATAATAAATAACATAGTTTTTTGGCCTAAGTTTGGATCCATGAGGTACCACTATATCAAAAACGATAAATTTCTATAAGTTGTAAATTTTTTTCTAAACGTACACCAAGTTTTATGTTGTCCTTTTTTCAGGACCTCCTGAGATATTTCAGTAAGTTTCATTGAACTGTTGTCCATTACATGTGTTCCATTTTGATATGCGTCCCTTATAATAGCTAAAATAATGAGAGAAATACATATATGTGCTGTGATTAAGAAAAAAAAAAACATCTTTTATATTTTTTTGTTGAGGCAACAATTCATTAGAATCATTTTTAAAAATACCTGTCGCCAAGACGATTCCAAACCAGCAATCCTCGTTCATTTTTTCAGAATGTTGGTAGATATATTTTAGATTTCTATCGATACCATATCTAATGGTAGTTATCAGTTTGGGATCCAACGTTATACCTTGCAGAACTACACTGGAACATATTAGCAAGTGAAGTGTTTTGAGCATTACTGAAAATCACACCTAGGTACGCTTTGTCTTATATACCCCTATGTTTTTCCAGTCAAAATCAGGTCTCATTAGTCCAGAGGCGTATCAGAAATAGTACACGTTTAAAGTGTTTGTTCATATATTGTTTTAAAAGTTTTGAAGATTTGTTTCCTCTATTTTATTTAATGTAAATTATTGCTGTCAATAAGAACTACTTATTTTAGTTAAATGGTCAGAAAATTAATACTTACCTATTCTTTTTCAGACCTAAATGTGGATGCTCTCCTACTACACTGTTCAAGTAATTCGTATTCAAAAGTGTGGCTGCGGTGATAAATATAATTTACCCCAAGAACTTTTCAATAAAGATTTGTTTGCTCGACTTCTCTAAAGCAGAATGGGATTAGAGTTTCCTATTACTTTTCCAAATACAGATTTATCCCCGACTTTTGTTAAGAAAATTAAAATACATTGTGTTTTTATAGAAAAATAAATTAGTTTCATCAAATTTATAACTTCTCAATTTATTTCCGTTAGTTTTTTATGTACTGTCACCGAAACAGAGGTTTTCAATTAAAATTAATGTAAAATAAGCAAAAAATCATCGCAGATAGCGAAACACAGCGATATCGCTGTCATCAGTCATCAATTAAAAATTAGATAATGACAGTCACATAAATACGAATCGACTACTGACTGTCAGTAAACCAAACCTGGCGCCAAACATGGCGCCCCACGTTGGGCGCCATGTCTACGCCTCCGTTTCCTAGTAGATTCTTGATACCCGATTTTTTCGAAGCCGCGGCTAGTAAGACTCCTGGGAAGGCGTAGAACTTTGTATTGCTGTTTTTTTTTTGTAAAAAAAATCACAGAAACTTTCTAAAATGGTTTGATACTAAAATAATAGTCAGAGATTTGATTTACCGTGGCCCGAGAGTCAGTAGTGGTTTCGTAATTATGCGTCTGTCACTATCTTAATTTAATTGATGACTGATGACAGTGATGTCGCTGTGTTTCGCTGTCTGCGATGATTTTTTGCTTATTTTACATTAATTTTAATTGAAAAACTCTGGTTCGGTGACAGTATTTCAAATTTTAATTTGTAGAAAATAAATTTTAAATATATTGTGTCACAGAACGGAAAGATTATGAAGTATTATTTCAAAATAATAATATTCAGCCTCTTCCCTCGAACAAATCTTCGAATTCCGGTACGGTTCGTTATAATTTCTCTCTAAATTTAGCAAAAATAGTGCAATAATTATGAAATTGCTTAATACGCCAATTATGACACCATAAAATCAAACTGATTATAGTCTTATCGCATTATTTTGGATTAAAAATTCTCCAAGCGTGGCACAATGTGTATTTATCAAGTGACCTTGTTCCTTGAGTCGATCGTTTAAGTTTATTTAACAGTGCACCAATACAAGTTGCTTGGCTAGAAGTAAACTAGTCGGACAGGAAGTACTTACAGCTGACAATTGCGGTCTTCTTGAGTTGATTTTTGGGGCGAAATGGAGATTAATTTTGCAGGTAAACGGGCTCTGGTTACAGGTGCCAGTCAAGGTAAGAAGAAATTGATTTTTGTAGAAGGAATTTGATTATTATCGCTGTTATCAATACAGTTTTATTGACAAAGGTTGCATTATATATAATTGTTTTGTTTACTTTAGATATTATCTCTCATGTTAAAATGCAGATTTAGTGGCAAATACATTTATTAAATATATAAATTAACTGAAATGCATTCATCCAAAAATTGTAATTTTTTCACATTCTTGCTTACACGATCAATTCTTGCAAATTTATAAATGAAAAACCTTTATATATTTTGTTCATTATTATACAGGGTGTCACAAATTAATCTAAACATAAAACTTTCAATGGTAAGAAAAAAGTTCTCATAAAAATGGGTCAGCAAATGTTTAGACTTCGAGATACAGGGTGCTCAATTTGAAATTTCTGAAAATGCTTATTCTATTTTGTATACAGAATGTTAATTAAATACTCTGCCAAGCTTTAATGGCAAAGTCTACGTCGAAAGTCATTTAAAAAATGTTCCTATAGTGTCCGGATCTAACAAAAAATTTTTTTTGGACGCTCTTTATCTCAAGAACCATGCCGTTGCGAACCCATGTTCATATGAGCTTTTTATCTTAAAATTAGTCAAAGATTATCCCTTTAAAGTTTGTACAAATACTTAATAAACACCCTGTATACTTATTCAAAATGTTAAAATTTTATTCATTCGAAATTTAGGCGATTTTAAATAAAAAAAATTATTTAAAACATTTAAATTTTAAATTTTCCTGGTAGGTGAAAAAATGTCGAAGATCGGGCAAAACCTCAATTAACTTCCTCTAGTTTTATACAATAATACTCACACTGTTATCATTTTATTTTATAAATAATACCTAAAAAGTGGAATAATTGTGGAAATTTTTGTTTTTTCATATTTAACCCCTTTGTGTGTATTAAAAAAGTTGACTCTTACATTCGGTACAGCCTGTATTTAGATTTTCAAACGAGTAAATAATAAAGAATGATAACTGATAACCATATAAACAACAAAGATAAAATATAAATCTTTAAAATACAATATAAAGCACCGCTCAGACGAACGCAATTTATTTACTTTATTGTCTAACGAGCATTCGCATTGGTCTATAAAAGTCGTCTTTTTTAGGAATTGGAAGAGACATAGTCAAACAGTTGGTCAAATGTGGAGCTAAAGTTGTTGCTGTGGCAAGAAATAAAGACCTGTTAGGTACCTTTATCTATGTCACATTTGAATGATATTTCTAACGACTTACTTTTTTTAGTTTCATTGAAACAGGAGGTTCCATCTATAGAAATCATTCCCTTAGATCTATCAGACTGGAAAAAGACTGAAGAAGGTTTGAAGGGTATTGGAGCAATAGATCTATTAGTCAATAATGCCGGCCTTGCCATTTTAGGACCTCTTACAGAAGTTAAAGAAGAAGACGTAGACAGGTAAATAGTAAACCCTTCACTATACCTCACTTCACAATCTAGGATTCCTTTTATTTTCTAGACTCTTTGCTATAAATGTTAAGTCACTCATCCAAGTGACCAAAATCGTAGTCAAAGATCTCTTAGCAAGAAACACACCAGGGTCCATAGTAAACATTTCGTCCCAAGCCTCATTAGTGGGTTTGAACAACCACACAGTATACTGCGCTACTAAGGGCGCTGTAGACGCCTTCACCAGAGCTGTTGCTTTGGAATACGGTCCCAGAAATATCAGGATAAATTCTGTCAATCCGACGGTCATCATGACCGATATGGGTAAACTGGGATGGTCAGATCCAAAAGTTGCCGGTCCTATGTTGGAGAAAATCCCCTTGAGACGGTCTGTTAATATTTCGATTAAATTATCTGTTATTTCAATGTGATTTCTATTTTTTCAGATTTGGAGAAGTTAGCGAAGTTGTAGACGCTGTGACATACTTACTCAGTGACAGATCCAGCATGATAACAGGCACATGTTTACCAATTGATGGTGGCTATGTATCTTCATAATTTCCAATGAAATACAACACAAATATCCAGTAATATAACCTAACCTTCGATGTTAAGATTTATAATACGTTGAATATGAGGATTTAATATGAGATTATGTTTATATCAACAAATATAGTTTTCAATTTTGTTAACATATATTTTTTTATTGAAAGTTTAAATATTCCCGCTGCTTTTAACCAATAAAAAACAAAAACGCGTCCACCACACCTTTTTACACTACTTTATTTATTGGCAGATGGTGCTGTCATTTTTTAAATATTCTTGTAATAAATATAAAGATTTTGCACAAAATCTGTTCAAGTTTTGATAGTTTATAATAAATATACGATGTTCAATAACATTTAGTAATCGATAATTAATTATTTAGGAAGAAATTGATTTGCCTTATCGTTATTCGCCGCTAGATGCCAGCACCATCAGACATCTGTTAAAAATATCACATTGACATAAACACAAAAACAAATTAACCTCAAATTCAGACCTATTTTAAGAAATAATGGATACATAAACAGTTCTCGGTGAACCCATATATCAAAAATGTCTAATATAAACCATAAAAAATGTGGTATTCGGCTCTCATACGGTTTCTAAGACGGAGGATCATCCTAGGGCTCATTTTAGCACTGTCCTTCTGTTACTGCCTCTTCAGCTATATAGGAACGGTATGGTACCTTTGTTTTCGAAACTACGTCGTAACTAATGATGTTTTTAAATTTTACAGTCTGATTTCCTAGACAGTGACGATGTGGTGCCCGTAAGGAGGACACAACCCTTTATCTGGCGTACTCTACAACAACACAATTCAACCGGTGAAACAGACACCAACTGCAGGAACTCTGTGCAGGGAAAAGTTCTCATTGTAGACGACAGAGGTATTCTTAACTCTCGGTTTAATCCCTAAGCATTGCTAGCTTCTTTTTAGGTTACATTTGTCCGAGAAGCGAGGTACTTTTAAACGGTTGTTGCAACGACGATTCATCAACTGCAATGCAGTATTCGTGCGAGACCTGCAAGCCAAATAACTGTTGTGCTATCTATGAGTACTGTATTTCTTGTTGTTTACATCCCGATAAGGTAAGTTTTTAGGTATATAGTTTTCGTTTATTGACGATAAGTTATTTTTCAGAAAGATGTTTTGGAAACGGTGTTGGGTAAAGCCACGGAGCAAAACAATGTTTTGTTTGCATCAGTAACCGATCATTTCGAGCTGTGCCTGGCGAAATGCAGGACAAATTCGCAGAGCGTTCAGCACGAGAATTCGTATAAGGACCCGAGGGCCAAACACTGCTATGGGGAGTTAGCGCCAGTGAACAGTAACATAGAAAATGAAGTGTAAAACAATTAAACATATTATTTGTGTTTGTTTTTTGTGTTGTATAGCTTTAAAGGCGAAAATAAAGTTTAGGGTAGTTGGCTAAAAGTACTCTTTCTTTTGGGGCCAAGATCTTGGTATTTATTTGTAATACAGGGTGTTTATATGGTTTTACAATAACAAATGTATAAATGCAAGGTGTCCAGAAAATCGTTTACCATCTCTTGGATGTGGATAAACAAGCCTTTCAGAAATAATATCACGAGTTTATATAATTTTTTTCATTCGGGCTCGGATTACATTTATGTTTACGTATTATTACTGAGATATGTCGAAAATAGCGTTTTATCTTCATCATTAAATGCTTTTATCTCGAAAACAATTTAATTTGTTGTATCGATATCAAGCAAATATACTTTTTTCACTGCACGAAATATGAAAATCTTAAAAACAGAGTTAAAAGATACAAAAGTTTATTCATTTTTTCTTGGAATCAAGACTGCTGAGGGCGCCCCCTCAAAAGTTACCTGTAAATTTAACGCATTAGTAGAAATTAGTTCAGCTAAATAAAAAGTTATAACGAAAAATCGATTTTCAATTCTCGACTTTAGGAGAAAATAATTTTACAGGCAGCTTACATAACAAAAATATTCTATAAATTTGTGACAACTTTTGCGAGTCCTACTTAAATTTGAGGGGTTGAGAATTATTCTTTTTATAGTCACTGCTAATAGATAAGAAACGCACAGTATAAATAAACAAGTGTCAACTCTCAATTTGGAATTGGTGTATCAAATGTTGCCTATACCGTAAAGTTATTATTTATTATTCGTATCGCCACCTGTCGTTGAAAAATGAAAATAAATGAAAACGTTCATGTTTCCTGTAATTTTAACTTGACCCCTCATAAAAAAATCCAAAAATTCAATAGGCATTGTATAAACGTATGACATCAATGAAACAATTATTAATTATTCTTCTGTAATTAATTATGTGATAATCTTTATCCATTAGGCGAGGAAAAACGAAAATGTTTATGAAAAATACCCAACTAATTAATTAATGTCATGTAGGTACTTATCTAAAAATAACTCATTGTTTTCATAAATCAGAATGCCTTTTTATTTCAAAGATTTAATACCTAAGTGTCCGGATGCCCAAACTTGGATGAGACGGCGTAACGCTGAAAAAGCCCAAATTAAATGCTTAGAAACCTACTTCAAAGTGGTTAAATCGTGTTATTATTTAGCAAACAATTCGGCGAAATGCCGATACCCCGGAGTGGTGTCATTAGAGGTGTAATAAAAGGAGAAATGATTAACTGCATGTGGTCTGATCAATTTTCAGGCCCCTCGCCTCGTCCCAGCGGAAGTACGTATTGCGAGTTTGATCTGTCCGGGACGAGAAGGGTGGAGGCAGAAGGATTGCGCGCGCATCCAATGGCCATTTTGTCACAATATTAACCTTTTGTTGTGATCCCTTTGCGATGAATTATGTCTATCATAATTTAATTAACCGATTAGGTGCGTGCAATATGTGAATAAGATTCGCCCCGGTGCTCTATTATGTAGTGTGTAATGAACGAGAGATCGTTTTCAGGCGACGGCGAACGACCGCAAGCTCCTACGGAATGTATTACTAGTAGAATCGAAAGCTATTGCCGCCGGATGGTTGGCTTGTTGTTAGCTGCGAAGTTATTCCGTCATTTTTTGGCATTGTCACGTAAGTGTTTGAAGTGTGAGTGTCACAACTGTCATCGGATGGTCTTTTGTAACATTGCTAAATTGTTAAACGCGTGTTGGAGTCCGCGGTTGAGCGTATAAAAGACGTAAAATGTTGACCATTTCGCTCGCCCCAAGATGGCTACCGACGGGATTCATTTTGCTTGTGTACGACCAGTGAACGCGCCGTAGCATCCAATCGGGCCGTTACACAACGATTTAAAGGTATCCCAGGCATTTAGGACGCCAATTTTTATCGATTCGTATAATTTTGCGTGAAATTGCCCGTTTCACAAACACGTAAATATAGGTTTTAGCTCCGCGCTGGGTCGGCCACCGCCGGGTACCGCGGGGCCCCTTATTTGCGAGCGAGGCGTGAACCCTGTGTTTTGATTGCAGTTGAACGCCATGTGTGAGCCCGAGGAAGTGTCCCAGCAAGTGTGGACCACCTGGATACTGGAGGCCATAAGGAAGATACGGTCCCAGAAGCAGCGGCCCAGCGTGGAGAGGATTTGCCATGCGATCCGTCAGCACCATAACTACCACGAAGACGTTGTCGCCGAGCACCTGGAGGCCGCTGTCAAGGAGGGTTCGGTGCTGAAGGTTTTCAACAAGGGCCAGAGCTCGTACAAGGACCCGGGCGGTCTGCAGAACAGGACCCTCAAGATCCAGAAGGGGGTAGATTTGACTAAAGTGGTGACTAAGGCGGTGCGGGAGTTGGGCGAACGCGACGGTTCTTCATTAAAATCCATTGAAAAGTACATTAGACAGTCACACACAGTGGAAGAAAACGCGGAGAACGACCTCAAAGGCGCCCTGCGGATGGCCGTGAAAAGGGCACTGTCCAGGAACTTTATTGTGTCGGACGGGAAGAACTTTAAATATAATTACAACCAGCAGAGTCCCGGGGTGAAACGCAAGCTAGACACCCCCAGGAAACAGTCCGACGATCTCAACGTACAACCCAAGGTAAGATCTTTTAATTTTTGAGGTAAAAACGAGGTGTTGAAACGTTCCGTTGATCACATTTGCATATAAACTGCCGGGGCTATAAATCTTGCTTGTAACACCATTAATTTATTCCAAATTAAATTATTAAATAATTGGGAGGCGACTATATAGCAGGCGCTGAGCGAGATTCCCGCCAAAATCGCCGTCCATCGAGCCGTCAGACTGGCGGCTAATTCGCTAATAAGTTGGGGCCAGGTAGGATGAATTAAGTTTATCAACAATGTTGCTCGTTTACAAAAGTGAGCGGCGAAGTGGATTTTAAGGCGTGTGTGTTTGCCGTGTTATTAAGTTGTCGTCGAGTGTTGAGGCGAGCGCATGAATTTATGTATATGGTCGCCGAGACTCCGTTAATCTTCGCGTAGAAATTACTGTATCGCCGGATTAAGTGCTCGCCGTGTAATATGTTTATCCTCTGCGGAGATTTAATTATGCGCGGATGTTTCGCCGTTCGGAAAAGTCGTTAGGTGCTCCCTGGGCATGTTTCAATTACTCACGGTAGGGGTGAGAAGGGCAATAATCGATGCGAGCGGTAAACTTGTTTAACGATTGAAGACGACGTCCAGAAGGATATGATCGTTGCGCGATATTTCAACGAGTACATAATTTGTTTGCATGTAGAGTAATTCCGTCAGTGGGTGCTGTTATAAGAAAGACTTTGTCTAAAAAGGCTCAGTTGAAATTGAAGGAATTAAAATTTATAACGAATTCACCTGTAGTGAATTGCAACTTTACTTTCAATCAAATTACTCCAAATAGTACTGTCATCAGCGTACTATCTTAACAAAATAACTGCAATAATCTCTAGAAACAACAGATGCAGCCACAATCTAATATATTGAAGCTTCTAAAAGAAGATTAGGGTTTCTGATTTCTCGGCCTACTTTTTTCTCGGGACTCGAGAATTCTCGACTAGGATTTCCCGGGAATTCTCGAATTCTCGAGAAATTTCTAAAACTTAAAAAAGTCATAATTTTGGTATTGCAATGCGAAATATAAACATGCTATTATACTTAACAATCATCATTAACATTTATTATTTATTCAGTATTTTTATTAATTACTTATATGTTTCTGCTTCTACTAACAAAACTAAATTAAACTTTGAGTATCTTCTTAAAAATCTTCAACTTGTTTTTTTTATTAAACACTCATATATTTATGTTTATTCCAATATTTTTGAATCGTAGCTTTCTTCCAATAATTATTAATAATCATTAATCATACAGTCTTTTAATTAAACAAATAGTAAATAAGGAATTTAACCGAAGAAGTCTTAAAAAACAAGCTTTAATTTAAAGATACAGAAGCGTTCTTCCTATTAATTTATCACTTATAATCACAACCTTTTAATTAACAAAACAAAAATAAATAATCAACTAAAGGAACAGGAACTAAATATTTTCAGAATCAACATCAACATTAGGTATCTGCTTATAATAAAATTTCTACACACTTAGAACAAGGTACATTAAAAAAATAAGAATCGTCAAAGTAAACTAAAGCCTTAAAAACTTAAAATAAATAAATCATGAGCTAGTCGAGAAACCACTTTAACCGCTCAGTTATTTGTCGAGAAACGAATTGAACGCATGAACGAAACGAACTCCAATCAAGAACTTAAGACGCGCCTGATTTTCAAATTTCTCGATTTCTCGAGACTTTTTTCTCATCTCGAGTAAGCCCAGATTTCCCGGGAATTCTCGCTTCGAGAAGTCTCGATCAGAAACCCTAAAGAAGATGCACGTTCTTTTATCACTGGCTTCAAATGTGTAATTATACCTAATAGTATGTAGTTCCACATTTATATAAATGGCCTGATATATGCATTTTTTAAATAAATAACCTTATTTCTGTGCGGAATAATATATTTGTACCTACTTGTTATAAATAACACATTGACTGTTCTTTCTCTTTTTATTGGTAGCGTATCATATCATGCATGACTCAGGAATCATGATTCCCAGAACACTATTTTTGTGATTCTAGAAACAAACTGTTACTTTCTGGAAGTACACTTGTACTCGTATTATGAATTACATTTCTAAATTCCCGCGTCTATTGAGTGTCCTAATTTTTACTTGTACGGGTAAAAGCAAGTAAGTAAAAAGCAAATTAAATTCAAATATGTATTGTTTATTATAAACCGAGGGCATAACCGCTGATCAAAATTTGTACATTAAAATTACAAATATTACTGAAGTATTACTCAATATTATTCAAACTTGTACAGGAAATTCCTCCTGCTCTCGTGATAAAATTACGTATACAGGGTGTTTCGATTAAAACTACCCAACTGGAAAATGTCGGAATTAAAAAAAAAAACAAAAACACCTGAGACACTTCGATTTTCTTTTCAAGGGGGACATATGATGTCGTAAGTTTTGGTGTCTTGCCCTTAAACTTTAAACGTCACCCTATGTTGAGTGACACCTCATTTTAATGCTTTTTAAATTCTGCTCACGACGACATACGGCTTTAAATTTTGGATTGGATGTAACAATAAAATCATCACTTAAAGAATAAGACAAAATATCAATGAATGAAATACTTAATGTTTTTATTAAACATGTTCATATTGGTTTCCCTCCGCTTCCATACAATAATAAAATCTTTGCCCAACTTCCGAACGAACATTTCGAGGCATTTCGTGCGATGTATCCCCCTTGAAAAGAAAATCGACGGGTTTTAGACTTTTTTTGTTTTTTTTTTTAATTCCGATATTTTCCAAGTAGAAAGTTTTAATTGGTATTGTCTTTCCTAAGTCAGTTGAACATGTATAAAAATGCCTAGCAATAAAAAATGAGTTTCATGGGCGACTCTAAAAAAGTTTTCTGCTACAGGTAAAAAATTATAATACTTTGTACATAATGCGTAGAGAACTTCTATTATATGTTCATTTGACCAACAATATGTTTTAATTATTTATGTCCACAAACAATTTTATTATATTGATGGTAAATTTCGTTTTGTTCCGTTTCAAGGTCTCCAAAATGCCGTGTTGTAATAATATTAGTAAACAGAATATCCCTCTTATTTCTCCCTTTCGCAATTGTAATATGAATGATTAATAAAAGGTGCCTATAATAAAATAAAATCACCTGAATCACACCAAATTCCGCATTGCTGCACTTCACTGCTAGGTCATTTGTTGACAACTAAATTTATGTGCCAGGTGACTCAGTGCGGCTGTTTGTGCTGCGTTTGCCCGCGCGCTCATTCTTCAACTGGGCGACCAGACCTGTATATGAGTATGGCTGAATAAATATGGGAACAAGTTTTTCAAATATTTCAATGCCGAGTTGCTGCTTCTGCGACCGGACCTGGTACATACTGCCAACATTTTGGTTCTTCAGTTCAGATCGGAAAGACTATACATCCTGTATAAGCCCTAAGAATGCGTATGTTTGCAAATATTAGTTCTAAAAAAATTGCAATTCTCTCCACTGCTGTCATTTTTAAGATTTGTGTTGGTAATTTTTTATACGAATTGACACAATGTTATTCTTTTTCAAATTTCTGTAATAATTTATTCATTTTTCAACTTTGTATTCAATTTTAAAAATAAATTGACTACATTTAATTTGTTCTGAAAGAATGTCGAAAAAAGTACAGATTTGTGCTTTTGCAGAAACTATTATTTACAAGCTTGCACAATTGTTTAACAAGTCAAGTCAAGGGATGTTGTTATACAGGGTTACATCTTTTTAATTGTTCATTACAGGTATCTTTCTTATTTTAAGAGATACAGAAATGATTAAATAAGCAACAAATTTCTGAATTTTATGCCGATCAAGGATTCGTTTTTAAATTTAGAAAATTCCGAATAGTTCCGAAGATATTCGAAGGAAACCGATTTTATACTATTTCTTTTTTCGAAGTATTTCACTTGTTTTTTTCAAAATTTTAAGGCAAAAATGTGTAGGTAGTCTGATATTAACTGATGTGAAGAATCGAATAACCAAGATATTCAATATAATATAAGTATAATTTTAATAAAAAAGTCAAATAGTAAAGCAATTGATTTTTTTTCTATAAATTGATTTAATATTTCTTATTTTTAATACTTTTTAACACTAACACTTTATTTAATTACATGGGAATAACAAGAGCAACGAACAAAACAATGTAGATAAAACAAAATAGCTATTTTATTGTCCACGCTGTATAATGATAGTTATTTAATATCTACATATAACCTTATTTCCGCTTATTTCATTTGCATTATTATCTGTTGTAAATGTTTGTTGGCATCGTTGTATTATAAATATAAACGTATCCATTATATTTTACTTTACAGGAACCTGAAAGCGGCACTTATTTCCATATAATTAATTCAAACAAGGTAATTTATAATTTAATTTACAAGCAGCTGCCGAATCTACTAAACGCTGAATTATCGTTTAATTTTATACCCGATGTATAAATAGGGTTATATTAGATAGATAGTGGAAATATCCGATGAATTCTTCCACAGCAATGCAAATATAGTAGAAAATCAATATGAACAGGTTAATCGAACGTATCCTGATAAAAGTATGTGATAAAATTTAATCTGTATATTTATGCACATAAGCTTCATAAGTACTTTCATACAATCAGAAACAGGTCTAAAAATAGGTTTATGAAAAAATTCCAGGACAATTTGAATGAAAAATCTGGAAAAATCTTTGTTGGTGTCTAGGTAGAAGATATAGAAATATTCTATGAGCGTTTATATGAACGCAATTTTTTATCTTTTAAATGTGAAGGGCGAAATAGAAACGACTACAAATTCTTCAGTGGTCTGTACTCAAGTTGCCGTCATATTTTTTTATACCTATGCGGCTTGCCTCTACCCCCTCGTATATGCTCATCCCTGCGGGTCATATTATTTTCAATTACTGTCCCTTCACCCCTAATTTTTGACGCCGACTTGCTTCCACATGTCGGATATTTTTCCATTGTAGTTGCGATGTGGA